GAAATAGTAGTTTTCCTACGAGATTGAAAAGTCTTTGTTTGCGAACCGAGAGGTTTGCGGCCCGAGCCGAAGGCGAGGGTCGTAACGAGGTTCGTAAAGGAGACTTTTCGAACGAGTTCTGGAAAACTGCTTTTTCGCCCGAGAAAGTACCAGCCTCCCAAAACTACCCGAGTGCGGAAAAAAACTTTTCACCTGAAACAACAGTTAAAATTCAAACAATCGTAATGAATACGAAACTGTTAATAACAAGCTAAAATATAAAATATCAGAGTTATATCAATTTGTTTATGTTGCAAAATTAAATTTTATAAGAAATCAGAGTCAAAATTGAAAAAAAATCTCTCCTTTATATTAAAGTTCTTAGTATCTTTCACAAAATCCATTTTGAAAATTTGATCCGGCCACACCATAATATTCAGAGCAGTCAAATGTATTTAAATTAATAATCGTTTTGTGACTCTACTTTTAATGTTAGCCAAAAATCGTTGAGCATGATTAAAGATCCCCATAAAAGGTATCGAATTCCAAATTTTGAGAAATTTTCATTAAAAAATGTAAAAGTTAGTAATGCAAAATTAAAATTTTGAATGGCGATTTTTGCCCTTTGCCTCATAACTTCACGAAAAATAGGTTTAAGATAATTTAACCAGCTCTGTTAGGTAGATAATTAAATAATGAATGAATGTTTTTAGCTATTTTTGCAATGTAATGCACTAAAGAAAAGTTATAATTCGCTATTTGTTTGATAATAAAAAAAGCCGGCACCATTATGCCCCACAAATCATTCCATGTATTTTGATCACATTACGAAGCGATTCCAACAACTGTTGTCGTAGTCGGGAAAAATTCCAAATTATATGATTTATCTACCCGTCTAAACAATCTTTTATCATATATGAGTATACTTATCAATCATCAGTTACATTACTTTGCAAAAATGCTATTGAAAATACAACTTTTTTTGTCTTTTCACAATCATCTTTTATTAAGATCAGTACGGACCAGTTCATGATCAGTTCCTGTTATGTGTACCCTTAGGTCAATCAAGTAGATCTATAACTGATCAGAAACTATGAAGAAGACTGACCCGTGTAGGAGATTTGATTCTATGTTCGAAAACTAAACAATGAGGTTCTTTTCTATTTGGGACGTTAAACTGGACGTAGTAAACGTAAATGGCACCATCGTGGAGCTTAGGAAAAATGATGTAAAAATGGTTTTTACCACACTTTTCAAGAACACTTGTTAATGAAGTAATTAATTATAGAACTAAGAATCTAGAGGCAATGCCGAAAGGCTCTGCTAAATCGCTTTTCGAACTGCTGCGGATGCGTGGCGCGGCGCGGTGCTGGCTGCAGCTGCTCAAGTACCACGGTTTACGCGCTATTATTTATTAATTTAAGCATTCGTTTTAGGAAAGAGAATTTACGAAATTAATAAAAAAAAATTGTGTAAACCTTTAATAAGATGATCATGTAGGTCCGAAGTCGAAAAATCAGATGTGACAGCTGCAATGCCTAAAAGACTGAAAGTGTCGTATCTCGGCTTTTTTTGGTACTAGAGCAATTTTTTTTTTTAGAGTACGTAAATAAATTAGCAAAATCACTTGCATTGTGTTCTCAACGACCAACTTCAAAAAGAGAGAAAATACGGTAGAACTAATTGCGTTATAGTGAGATCAGTAGTAGCCCCGCTTTTTTCCGTTGTACGTATACTTTTTTTCCTTACACCTTCACAAGATTTGTACTCATATTACCTCTGCACTGTATGCGGCAGCCACGGTCCTGGGACATTCGATCATTTCATTCAGAAGTCTACTAGTTATACTTTTTTAATCTCTACCTCTGCACAGTACGCTGCGGCCACGCTAACATAACACTTTATTATTTAATTTAGTAGTCAACTCTTTATACTTTTTTAACTTCTACCTCTACATTGTATGCAGCGACCACGCTCCAGTGGCAGTTTATCATATCACTTAAAAGTCAATTAACGTTAATGTTTTTTATTTATTCATGGAAATGAAAGAAAAAAACAATTATGGCAGAAACAATTAATGATCTCGCACTGTCAAAGCAATAGTGTCTGACCGGGACATTCAATATATCGTATATTTCACTAGTGCCTAATTGTCATGCAACGTCATTTTCCTATTCAATGTTTGCGTTCGATTTGCATCATTCGTTCGATTATCGTCCATTCATAAATGTATAGTCAAGCAGCTTATGGTCAAGAATTACTACAAAAGTAAAAAAGTCACGCAAAGGAATAAAACAGTTTACTACTGTAAAATTGTGTATAACGTCTTCTCTGCTACTGCTACTCTTTGTCGCTTAATACAAAACCATACATATCTGCGCACTTGGTTCTGCGGATATATGGCGGCAATGACATGAAGCTTTTTCTAACTCAAAATCGGGTTGGATGAAACTAACTTTCGGTGGAGATTTAAAGAAAAGATGTTATTCTCAGAGGTACGAAAACAAAGATATCGATTCCATGACACATTTTATACACAATCGAAATTTTAAACTAACAATTTTACAATAGGTCGCCATTATAAAATTTTGCTATTAGACCAGACGTATGGAATATATTCTAACGTGTGTAATACATTTGATTTTCATTCAATTTTGAACAGTGCAATGTGTATTTTCACGCATTAAAATTTTTTTTGCGTTTTTCTACATCCTTACTTGTTTAAACAATAGAAAATTTTTCTAATATTAACGCCTCATTCTTACATAAAATTGTCAGATAAACAACTTCTGTATTAAGCATTTTGTTCTAACACGAATACTTATCAAGATATTTAATAAAAAAGACACAAAGTAGATTTCTCAGTTGTTTTGAAATAATAAACAATGACGCGTATTTTCGTCGAAGTAGATACTTTAAGGTAGTATTCTACGTACTTTTTTTTAAATTTTAAGTCGAATATCGTGTTGTTACAAAAGACAATCACCCTTAAATTCTCTGGCACCTTTACTGTGTTTCAAATAGAAACATACATTTCATTTGTAATTATGTGATTAATAACTTCTTGGTGTGTTAATGTTTTTCTTTGTTAATATTATTATACTACTATGTAAGCTTCCAATTTGTTACAGACATCATTATGACATGGTAAAATTCCATGTATTCATTCAAGTTTTACATATTCACATAACTTATTTTTACGAGCCACCTTTATAAGGCCTATCAAACCACAAAGAGACAGTACACTCTTTCCCTTATTTTAATTGGAAAGTAATATAAAATCCCCGTAAAAATACCTTCTAACAAAACAAAAAGGTTAGGTAAGTTTGATGTGTTTAGGTAATATTTTGTAAGGAATTTCTGAAGGTTTTATACATTGGCAATGTATAGTATTTTTCTTAATGAATATGTAACCTTGAAAAGTTCTGAAATCAAAATATAAAAACAGTAAAGTTTTTTTTTTTGTTTTTTGGTGCAACATACGTTGTGTATGACATTTTTAGTACAATACTGTATAGTATTCGTACTTTAAAAAAATCAAACGAAGTAATGTTGACTTTTGCTCTAACATTTTCATATACTTTCTACATAGCAAGGCATTAATCGATTTTATGTAAGGTTTGCATGAAGTACTAGTAAAAAGTCAATGTAACTTAGTTTGATTTTTTAAAGTACGAATACTAAACAGTATTATACTAAAAATGTCATACACAATGTATAATGCACCAAAAAAAAATTATACACTTTTTATATTTTTATTTCAGAACTTTTCAAGGCTATATACATTAGGAAAAATACTATTTATTGCCAGTGTATAAAAGCTTCAGTAATTCCTTACAAAATATTTACTAAACACATCAAATTTATCTAACCTTTTTGTTTTGTTAAAAGGTATTTTATAGGGATATCATAACTTTTCAGGAAAATACCATTTTTTGAGTGTTTATTTTAAAAAACTTAATTACATTAGATATCGTTCGTATTAGAAAGTACTGGATATAAACAAAGTCTGTACAACATAACTACGATGATCTACAATGGTTTCACTAAATTTATACTTAAACATATGAAGATGTTTTGAATATATGAATGTGTGCAGAGGTTAATTTGTACTAATAGTTCAAAAATTACTCTATAGGTCAGAAAAATAAATTATATGATGCATGAACTTATTTTATATATATATATATATAGAACATAAATTTAAAGCTATTTTATTAACTAAAATGAGCGTAGTAGGAGTACTGTCTCTTTGTTATTCAGTAGGGTTCATAAAAATAAGTCATGTTTATAGGGCGGAGCTTTCATAATTTTTATTATTTGATGACTACAGAAAAATTTTTATTTGTAGTTTTATCCATTTCATGAAGACGCATGTTGAAAATTCGAATTTTATATAGTTTTATAAAAATATTAACAAAGAAAAATATAAACGCACTAAGAAGTTAATACTTACTAATGAACTAAAATTGTTATTAGATATAGATAACTTACTTTATAATAAAAAATAATCATAACTGTACAAGTTACTCATGATGATTATTTATTTTCTATTATAAGTATACATTAAGTCCATGTATTTGTTCATTTGTTTATCCCTTTGTCCTTCTGGAGTGGTGTGTAAAAAATAGATAAAAATATTACACTATTATTTCCATCATGTTTTATTGCTATGTTGAGTAAACCTTTATGATAGATGGATGGATTATTACATATTACTGAGATAAGGGATTTATGTAGGGGTCTGAAGGGGGGGGGGCGGGCAAAAAAATCATGTTGAGAGAGGGTGATCGTCGGTTGAGGATGTTACCATAATTTTATTCGGTTAAATGTACAGAGAACTACATTTAATTTTTCCTCATTTTGTAGGAGAAACTGTAGGGGAACTGTATGATATATAAAAAATATGTAATATTTAAATATTAAAATAAGTCAACAGCTTTGACTTTCGTATTTGACAATTTTTACGCACCTCAAATGTTGAAAAGTTTCCACATAATATAAGAGTGAACTTTGCTCTTGTTAATGCTACGCAAAGACGTTGTTGATCAGATAAAAAACCTATTCCACTGCTTCGTACACATGACATGATAATAACATCTCTTTCCTGACCTTGAAAACTGTCAATTGTATTCACTTCTGTTATGAATTTATTCCTCATATTTTCAGGAACATTTCTAACCCTACCAGAAGATACAATTAAGAATCATTTGAAAAAATAAGAGATTTTTGTTTAAAACACACTATTTTACTTACTGCTCTCTTATTGTGCTTAAAATAAGAGACTTTTGATTTTGGTACGGTGTAATCACACCTATTGTAATTTTTCTCTCGTATCCACTTTTCAACTTCAAACAAGTCATTAAACAATAAAGTAAGTTACCAACAAATGTAGCTTCACTTAAGTTAGAAAATTTAGTTTCATCTTGATATCCATCAAGATTTAACACTCTGTAAGGTTGAAATGGAAAATTTTGCTTGTAATTGACAGAGTCAATCAACTTTCCACCATAAAAATACCTATTTGGCCAATAAGAAATAGCGTTAACCATTCGGTATTGAATATTTAAGGTAATTACAGGATCTCGACAATCATCTCTCGTATTGTCACGTTGAGGTTCTAGAGCTTCTTTTGCTCTTGTGAATAAAGATCGGTCGAGACCTAATTTTTTTGCATCCTAAAAGTAATGCAAATAATAATAAGTTCTGAAGATTAATTTGTAACTAATAGCGTAATTGTAATTACCAAATTTTTTGTTTACTTAACTGTTGACATCACAGTGGCTGGTAATTGATTTGGATCGCCGACTAAAATTAAGCTCTTGACTCCTAGCATTAATGGAATTAAAGTTTCAGCTTCACAGCATTGCGTTGCTTCATCTACAATGCATGTAGCTATTCTGTCGCGATCACCTCTGATAAAGAGTTAACAAATGTTAATGTTTCTTTTTGATACAACAAAATTTTTAGTAATTTTGTAGCTTACCCGAAAATACTTTCCATTTGTTTAGTATAGCATGATGTCAGTGTGCAAGTAATAACATCAGCCTTAGCTAAAATGACGTTTTTTGCATTATTTTGTAGTTTTGCTACTTCCATAGTATCTTCCTCCTATAATTGTATAATTAAAATAAAATTTTATTTCTAAAAACACTGTGCATGATAAATATTATTATAAATTTCCCTGGAAATTAAACTTCAACATATGTATTGTGATATGAAGTAGGGTTACCAGACGATCTAATTTACAGGTCATGTCCTGATTCTGCCTTATCTACCTTGGTGTCCTGGTTTTTCCGAAAACATTCAAAATATCATAGTTATGATAAAACAAATATTTTAAGCATAAAATTTCCTGTTTCTCTTCAATCAAAGCAATTTATGGATGCCCAAGGCAAAAAGATCCCACCTGGTGTTTGGGTTTCAAACTTTTCAGACACGGACATAAACTAGCGGATAAATATATCAGATTAATTTGGTTGGCTGTAAAAAATTTGAAGAACCAATAAAATCAATAGAATATTCTTGTCTGCTATAGATTTTGCTTCAGAGGTTCAAAAAGTTAAGCACCAAGGGAGACACTTGCTTAGTCATCCAGATATACCGATGAACGCAACCTACTTTCAACAACAACTGTACGCAATCTCATGCACTGACAAAAATGATTACTCGTAGTCAATAAACGATAAACTAACTATAATCCGGGTCTAAATTAACAATTAGCATATATTCGTCAGAACTTAATTGCGATAGCTTAATCAGTTATAGCAAGTTCTGTTTTATTTACGGCCATTTTGGCAATTCATTCATGTAACGGCTCTGAATTATTGTGTTAACCAAAACGGTTATAAAACAATTACCATACAAAATATCGAGTTCCAGTGAAAAATCGTTCATAACTCGGTCCATTATAATTTCAGGGATTGCACTAGATTGCAATGCAAACATACTATTTTCAACACCAGCAAAAAGTTGTCAAAAAGTTTTAAACAAGCTATACAGTCCCAAAATTCATTTTCCATAAGATATCGCTTATAACTCGGTCTAGTATGACACCAAAAATCTCAATTCTACGTACGGACTCTGACAATGGTTTATTATAAGTACATAATATGATCTACACAGTTTTAAAGTTGATAAAGAAGCAATAATTAAATTAATCAAGCGAAATATCAATTTTCGTAAAAAATTGCTTCAAACTCGACCCAACATGGTCAAAGGGACCTACAACTTTACTTGTGCACTCTGACAATGGTTTATTATTATTTTTTTTTTTTTTTTTGGATCGCGGCAGCCTACTGGCCTAGTCGTTGGGGCCACCCATTCACCACCTAGGTGTGGGGGTGTATTGCCACGTACGTATGCTTAATTCTGGATAATTGGGATTATAATGGACCATAATAAATGATTTTTTAGGGAAATCCGATGTTTCGCTTCTCTAATTTTTTAATAATTTTTCAAATATTTCTTATCTCTCTTGACATTGATATGTGGTCATTAAAAATGTTTAAAAAACGTAAGTACAATTCTGAGTTAATGAAATCATGCTTAACAGAGTTATAAACTCTTGAAGTGATACTTTTTTGGGCATTGTGCACTGGAGTAAATCAAAGGTTTCAGAATTTTTTTTCTCGAAAAATATGTGATGGAAGTGAATTATTACTTTCACTATTTGTCCCAGGACTGAGAGATGATGAGAATAAAAAGTAATAAGTAAAGTAAATTTTTAATTTCAATTCCTTAAAAATAGAAAAAGAACTTGCTGAAATATTTATTAATATAATATTAATATTAATTAATATATGCACAATTAATCGTAAGATTGAGTATGTTAGTGTACGAGACCGGTAAAAGTGTGCTGTTAGAAATTTTATTAGCAAGTT